CCAATACTCCAACATCTGGACCAGACAATTTTTCAATCTGTTTACTTGAAACAATTTGAAGCTTGAGAATGAGTAATTAAAACTAAAATTGCTTTTTTTTTCCTGCTTCAGGGGATCAACAAACTCAAGGACGAGTAACATTCAAAATAATAACTTTGGACTTTACAAAACAAGGTATCCCAAATCTTTGTCTTTTTTTTTCTTTTACTTATCTTGACCTGTTGCAACATCGGGTCAGAACAATCTGTAAACCATGCTAAATATTTCTGTTTAGGTAAGATCATTTTAAATTCCTGATATTAGCTGAGAGGTAGGATTTAATGACAGTATGAGTTGTGGATCTCTTTCATRCTTCTTCTTGGGGGGATTCTGRGGTACTKCTGTCTGTAACCTTCCYTGCAGCTCCRGAGTGGCAGGGCGGAGTCAAGCGCYGGCAGCTACTCAGCTGGCTGGAGCCACTGGACTCTGCTGAAACAACCTAGGACACTGTGTCCAGCTCTGGAGACCCTTGTGTACAGAGATTTTCTGATGCTATTAATCTGTTTCCCTRAACTTCAGCTCTTTGACACTGTCTGGACGACTCTGCCAACCTACAACACAACCATAACCTCCAAGTCAAACATCTTACCCACCAGTCACAAAGTCTGTCGTGTCCCTCTCCAGCCACTCCACAACTCACCTGGTCTCCTTGGTCTGTCAGCCACCCTGGAATCCCCCCCAGTCCTCGCTSTCTCCACAGCTTTGAAAGGAAAAACCGTACATAAATCAGACTTTTTTTTGTGAAACCTCAGATCATTATATGAATTTCTGAAAACTTAGCACATCTCCTCCTCTGAAGCTTTCTCCCGAGCACCAACAATTCATCATCCTTGTAAATAAACACTTCAAATTTGGAGCTCTGGGTTTAATTTATAACCAACTCGTAACATGTGCACAGATTAAAACCCGGGTCAGGCTCTTGTAAATGACAGGAGCACGTGTCATGGCAAGATAGCACAAACACTGGCTGTGAGAAAAGAGCATATTACCATTAAAGGTCACGGAGCCACAGAAAAACTGCATGTTCTGGTCACAAACAAAGAGAGGGGAAGGGAAGTGGAGCAGAAATATTTTTTAAAAAAATCAGCTGCTCTTTGACCATCTGCCTCCCAAAAAAATTCCAAAATGTTTAAATGGATTTAATG